CAGGGTGCATCGGAAGCCTTACGAGGGACTTTCAACGATTCGATCGACCGCCGCTTCGTCGCACCAGACAACTCTGTACACGCAAAGAACCAGGCGACGATCGCTGCCGGACGGCAGGAAATTGAGTCTCAGCACTTTGCGCCGCGCGACCACCAACATCGACCGCCTGCGGCTGATGCGCCCCCTGTACCCCCTCTCAATACGGCATACGGTGGTCCGCCAGTATCTGGCTCACAGGTGGAAAGCGGCAGTCGCGGCGCAAAGTTGAGCAGCTTTCTGAAGAAGAAGATGGACCTGGATGGGACCGAGTCAACTAAGCGCTATTAGACAGGCAACGATGTTTGTTGGATTTAAAGCATAGGAAGGCGTAGACGAGACGAGCATACTTTGTCAAGTACATGTAGCAATGCATTATTTTAAGGGAATCATGTCAACCTTGGTTAATCATTGTCTCGATGACAAATTGATCACGGCTATAATGTAGGGCAAGCATCCAGTCGAGCAGCTGAGACTCATCGACAACAGCTTCACAGTGTTCGATATCGTTCCCCAATACTCGCGTCACGGACAAGAAGGCCACGTTCAATTCCGATAAGCAACAAACTTCATTAGCATTCTCCGTCGCTTTGAATACTGGCTCTGGAGATTGATACAAGCCTGGTTTCGCACGCTCATGATCGCACGGGATTTATTTCAGATATTCGTTGCAGGTTGTGTTGGAATGATCGGGTACCGGTAGACTCCGGCGAGATTTCAGATTCGCGCCCCACACGAGTCGTAATTTTCACTCTGGCCTCGCCTACTGGACATGCCTTAGCTACAGAATGTACGCTTTTAGGTTGGTTCAAGATTGTAAATCAGTTATCTTGTCAAGCATTCATCAAAGCAATTGCAAGGGCTCGTGGTTTAGTGGAACTACACTCCCGTAATGACTATAAGAGCTTTTGCCCCGAATTCGAAATCTACTTTTACGTCGTTTGATTTCCAGAAACGTTGTTGCCAAATGTCTTATTCGGGGCTAGTGCACGCCTACACGCTCAAAACCTAAATTCGACATCCCAAGAAAGATGCGTCAATAGGAATCCTTTCCGCTTAGATCTCTGCACACAAATGGCTGTGCCGTGGGCGATGCAGCATGTATGCTGTGAATGTGGCATTGTTGGTACGTGCGAGCCGCCAGGTGTACAGTCTTTTATGGGCTCGTGCGCATCATGGGCTCGTGCACGTTTTCGTGGAAAATCAACATTTGAGCACCTGCACCCTATACCCCATAACTCAACCAAATGTCGGATTTAGAAGCTGCGCTTTAAGCGCTAGATGCTCTGAAGCCTGGAGAAGCTCCTCTTTATGCTCAGGTTGCGAGAGAGTATGGTGTTAACCGAACAACGTTGTCGCGGCGTCACCGTGGGGTATGCGCGTCGCGCGCGAAGGGCTATGAGTCTCAACGCCTACTCAACACAACACAAGAACAAGAGCTTGTCAAGTATACTATGGTATCATGCGTAAGTTTTGTGAGTGGAGATGCACGGTGGGGATGCTTGGCGGATGATGCGGAACCTCTCTATCGTCCAAATTACATCAAATCCTACCTAATTCTGTATACAATACAATGTTAACCTGTTTCGAGAAGCATCTCTGTGTGCCCCCCAGAATGTCTACTACTCGTCCATTTCATCCATCTCATCTATCCTATCCATCTCATCTATCCCATCGATCAACCGTCCTAAAATGGCTACTCCTTGTCCATCAACACCACCCCATAGTCAGCATTTATCACGGGACCAGCGCCTGCAGGTACAGACTCTACGGCTAGCTGGTCATACGTACAGATATATCGCCAACCTCCTCCACGTCACCGAGCGACAAGTTGAGTGGGCAGCTACTAGTGTTTCTGTCACTCCAAAACGACGTAGTGGTCACCCACGTATCCTTACAGATGCCCAAGTAGACGAGCTTGAGGCGTACGTCCGATCATCACGACGTACACTTCAGATGAGCTGGCATCAACTTGCGTACGGTCCCTTTGACGCATGGGGGGTGTCAGAGTACGTGATACGCCGTGCCTTGACTGCTAGAGGATACACACGCCGCATTGCCCGAGCCAAGCCACCTCTCACCCAACTCCATAAGGACTTGCGCCTTGCCTGGGCTCGTGAGCATGTCAACTGGGAGCCTTGGCAGTGGTGGAGGATCCTCGGGAGTGACGAGACGTGGGTAACTGGAGGGCGGCACCGTCGAGTATGGGTAACAAGGAAGACTGGAGAGGAGTTAGATCCTACCTGTACTGTTGACAAGGTACCAAGAAAGCGTGGCTGGATGTTCTGGGCCTGCTTTTCTGGTACTACAAAAGGTCCCTCCCTTTTTGGGAGAAAGAGTGGAAGACTATCAACAAAGAGAGGTACTGTGAAAGGATTGTACCACTTATTCATGGGTGGCTACGCCTTAATCCAGACCTTGAGTTTATGCAGGATTCAGCCCCAGGTCATTCTGCAAGGCTGACCCTTTCTGAGCTACAAGAAAGAGGGATAACGCCTATATACTGGCCTCCATTTTCACCAGACCTCAGTCCAATTGAGCCAGTCTGGGATGAGATGAAAGACTATATTGAGAATCACTATCCTGGCCTGCCTAGAGGGAGGCAGTACACGTACGATCAACTCAGGGGGGTTATACAAGAGGCATGGGACTCAATTACCCCTGAGTTTCTTCAGGGCCTCATTGAGACTATGCCAGCTCGTTGCCAGGCAGTCATTGACGCTCAAGGTGGTCACACAAAGTACTAAGATTGTATGTAAAGTATGACAAAGCCAAGATTTGGCCACCCCGAATAATACAGCCGAACATCTCCACCGTGCCGCCCCACTCACAAAACTTACGCATGATACCATAGTATTGAAACACTCAGCAAGCGCAGCCTACCTCCTACAAGAGAGATGATACGAAATTTCGCGTCTGAAATCGCCAGAAAGCCCGTTGGCAAAGCCTGGGCTGACCGCTTTATCGCCCGGCACCGCGACCACCTCCTGCTCAAATGGACCTCCAGCAAGGACTCCAATCGCCATAAAGCTGATTCTCCCTACAAATATGAGGAATAATTCAAGGTTTTGGGCGAGAAAATAGAGCAATACGACATTGAATCACGTCATATGTACAATATGGATGAGAAGGGCTTCTTGATTGGAGTACTGTCTAAGATGAAGAGGGTGTTCAGTAGGCGCTATTACGAGTCTGGAGCAGTGAAATATTTGATCCAGGATGGCAACCGTGAATGGATCACGCTGCTGGCTTGTATATGTGCTGATGGTACTGCTCTCACTCCTTCGCTCATATACCAAGCTGCCTCTGGGAAGCTCCAGGACTCGTGGTTGCAGGATTTTGATCCCTCACTACACAAGTGCTTCTTCACGGCATTACCAAGTGGCTGGACGAACGACGATGTTGGCGTCGCGTGGCTTGAACAAGTCTTTGATCGCGAGACAAAAGAGAAGGCAAGGCGGCAGTGGAGGTTACTGATACTTGACGGCCATGGGAGTCATGTTACGATGAAGTTTATTGAGTATTGTGATGCTCATAAGATACTCGTTGCGGTGTATCCACCTCACAGTACTCATACTCTTCAGCCACTTGATGTGGTGATGTTCTCTCCACTCAGCTGCGCGTACAGCGCGGCACTCGCTGACTTCATGGATATGTGTCAAGGCCTCTCACCTATCACCAAGCGCGACTTCTTCCGCCTCTTCTACATTGCCTGGGACGTCTCATTTCACTCTACAAATATCCTGAAGAGCTTCAGGTGCACGGGCCTATCTCCATTTGATCCACGCCAAATACTTGATCGTTTTCAGTCAGATCACGGTTCTCGGCCGTCTACGAGTGACAGTACAACCTCAGTGATAAGCGCGAGTGATTGGAGGAAGATTGAGCGATTACTGCACGGTGTAGTGGAGGATATGTACGACAGAGAAGCTAAGAAGCTCTCACAGACAATCCACACTATCGCAGTCCAAAAAACACTACTTCAACACGAGAATGAGCGACTTAGAGAAGCTCTGATCAATGAGAAGAAGCGCCGTCAGCGTGGCAAACCACTCCTCCTTGAGGCACCCAATGACTACCACGCTGGTATCCGTGTCTGGTCACCAAGCAAGGTCCAGCAAGCTCGCGATCGCCAGGAGGCCAAGGACCTTGAACAACAGCAGCAAATACACCAAAAAGCTGAGGAAGCTCACCTCTGGAATGATCAAAAGCGACTCAAACAGCAGCTGCAGGAGGAACGACGATTGGGGCGGATGGCAGCCAAAGTAAGACGTGAGGAGGCTGCCGCGGTGAAGGCGCGAGGGAAGAGCCGCGCTGCAGTTGATCGTGAGCTTGCAAAACAACTCCAGGATGATCTACAATTATCCAAAAAGAGTAAGAGGCAAAGTATCAAAGTTTCCAAGTCCTTACAGCTATCTGAGCTACCTGTGGCGACTGTAGTTGATGATCTAGTTGGTGGGGAGCCCTCAGCCAGCTCATCAGCTCCACCGACAACAACCACACGCCGCGGCCGCAACATCATATTACCAAGTAAATTTAAGTAGCGCACGTTAATTGCAGATATCAAATTACTACTACACCACAAAATATCACGATAATATATACTCTGCGTGGTTGTATAGCCTCATTTTTGGGAGTGGGTGGATGATGATTTTCGTGCACGAGCCCATGATGCGCACGAGCCCATAAAAGACTGTAACGCAGTAAGCTTAGGCTGCCGTCCTGTTAGCATAAACTTAGTTCCCAGCCGTGGACCCACACAGTAATGTTCGACTCGAAATACTCACTTTCAGAATACATTACTAATACTTGTGTCATATGCCATAGCAATATGCTTTGCGATACTGATGGATCATCGAGAGCAAAATGATAATTCATATTTGAGAATCGTGTCAGAGTGGAATTATTGATTTTCCGAATATATATCGATAGATTGGAGTTAACAACATCGATATCAGCAATATGGGCTTGTGGTTTAGTGGTATAATACTCCCTTAGCATCTTGCAAGCACCAAGTGCTTAACATCTATCCTGGGAGTGGTCCGGGGTTCGATTCCCCGCGAGTCCATGTCTTTTTGCTGATGTAGTATCCATTTTGATGTTGTGTGGGAGGTGGGTCTTGTAGTAGTCCGAAAAGTTTAGAGCTAAGTCTTGATTTTTAACAAAGCCAAAGTTGTGGAAGGAGGGAAATAGACACTCATGAGCGCAGATCGTTACTTTCCCGTGTTTTTAAGATCTTTGCGTTCGCATTGCTATCCTCATCTTTTGGTGCATTGGGGTGGTGAATGAATCTGATAGACATGCGGCTGCCAAACCTGTGAGAAGGATTGTTGATTCTGAACATCAAAGCTTATCAATAGAAGTCTCTGCTGCTATCCTCATCTTTTGGTGCATTGGGGTGGTGAATGAATCTGATAGACATGCGGCTGCCAAACCTGTGAGAAGGATTGTTGATTCTGAACATCAAAGCTTATCAATAGAAGTCTCTGCAAGATTATTCTCTACACTCATGTTGAAATCGCTGCTGATCTCAATCTTGAAAGCGAATGTTTCAAACTGAGCTCGCAAGTTGCAAGAAAGGTGGACTGCAAGGATACCAATTCTCTATAAGTGGGGATTCGGTCAACTGTGGCGCGAAGTGTACATCTTCCCACAGGATTTGGTGGCCATTTAAAGTATGAGTAATGAGACACTGACACACAATCATTGGTTCAAGGGTAATCTGAGACAAAGAAGTCCCATGATTGCTCGTCTGTGGTATTGTCTCAAAGTTTCCAGACGACGCTTTGCTCATCAACAGGAACCAACATTCGGCATGCCTCAGCCTTACACAGTAATATTGATGATTGAGTCTCCCCTGCTGTGAGTCGGACTCTGCTTGAAAACGAATGTAGCAACTTCAGTCTTCACACTTTCCAGAAAGGTAAGGGATTCTGAGCAGATCACGCAAACTACGACAAAGCACTTTGTAGTCTTCTGCCAGCTTGATGACAGATTAAAACCTTTCTAGCTAAACTGGAGCATCTTGTACCAAACATGACCTCCGCAACCTTCTTTCCAACCCGATGGCCCACTTCTACATATGGGCCAGGCTTACACAATCATGAAATTCATGAAGAGCAGAGTGCATGCGCGCGTGGCTGGTCTGCGGCAAGAACAGCGCTACATCTTCGCACTCTTTATAGGCATTTGCCCTCAGACGCTGCAGATTTTCAATCTTTCTTGCACTACGGGGGCAATATCTACTACCTGGGCAGAGGCCTCCCACTGCAATGCCTTTTGGACTCGATAGAGGCCAAGTACAGAGAAGTCTCTGTGTTCATGACTTCGATTGATGAGTTCATTGGCGTTGATGTGGCAACTGTCACCGGGCAGTGCGCAGAGGAGCTTGTTCCTGGGAGCCAAAACCGGGGACTTGCAACGCAGTTTGCGTGGGCATTCCGATGGATGGCCGCGAAATGTAATCAATGGGGGATCGGTAGGGAGTATCAAAGTTTATTGCAGGAGTTGGATTGAGAATTGACCGTCAAGATACTATGGTAAGTACCAGGGATGGTACGGTAGGGAGCCCCTCTCTGTTCATAATCCTCGGCGCGCACATGTTGCAAGAATTTCTGAGAGTTGTCTAATGAGTTCTGCTTAGAAAGTTAGGCCAATTCGACTGTGTCATTTGAGTGGATCGTATTAAGCAGATATGACTGTAAGCAGCGGAAATATGCTCATTGTGTGAAGTGCCAGACACCGATGAGGTGATGAAGCAGGTCGGAGGTCAAGCACTGGTGGGGCTCTCTAACATGTCGGGCCGCGTAACGTGCCCGTGCGCAGTGTGCCCGGATTCACAGTGTGCCCCGCAGAACACCAACGCGCGTCTCAACACCACAACTCCAACGCGCGATAACTCCACGACCATGGCTCCGATTGATGAGGCGATTGAGGATCTAAAATCGCGAGGTTCAGAAGAACAATTTACATTGAAGGAAATCGCTGAAAAGCATGGCGTTGACCGGTCAACTCTGGGGCGGCGATGGAGAGGCGTGACAGGGCCTAGGGATGCTGGGCATGCTAGCAGGCAAGCTCTCAACCCAGAACAGGAGTTAGAGCTTGTACGATATATCACTAAGCTTACTAAGCAAGGCCTACCTCCTACGAGGGAGATGATCAGGAATTTCTCATCAGAAGTAGCCCGTCAGCAGCTCAGCGAGAGCTGGGTTACTCGCTTCATCAACCGGCACGAGATCCATCTCATCTCAAAGTGGACCACCGCCATGGATTGTACGCGCCACCTGGCTGATTCTGAGTCAAAATACCGTCTCTACTTGGAGCTACTGCATCAAAAGATCACTGAATATCACCTTGAGGCTCGAGATATATACAATATGGATGAGAAGGGCTTCTTGATTGGCTTGATAGGCAGAAGCAAGAGAATATTCAGCAGGCATCAATGGGAGAAGAAAGAGGTTCGAGCATCTCTCCAGGATGGATCACGCGAGTTTCTGACACTCCTAGCCTGCTGTTGCGCCGATGGGAGCTCGCTGCCTCCAAGCCTCATATACGCAGCTGCAAAAGGAGCTATACAATCAAGTTGGGTAGAGGATATCAAGGCAGGAGAACATGAGGTCTTTGTCTCATCATCTCCAACAGGCTGGTCAAACGATAACATAGGCCTAGCTTGGCTTGAGCAGGTGTTTGATCGCTGTACAAAGCAACGATCAGGTAGATGGAGATTACTTATTCTTGATGGCCATGGATCTCATGTCACGATGGAGTTTATCGACTACTGTGATCGCCACAGGATCCTTCTCATGGTCCTTCCACCCCATTCAACTCACACGCTCCAGCCGCTCGATGTAGTGCTGTTCAAGCCACTCTCTCAAGCCTACTCCAACGAGCTCACCAACCATCTCCACAAGGCTCAAGGCCTTATTCCAATCAAGAAAGGGACTTTTTACCACTCTTCTGGAGCGCCTGGATATCCTCCTTCACGGAGAGCCTCGTATTGAAGGCCTTCGAAGCTACTGGGATCTGGCCGATGGATGCCAACGTTATCCTTCGTAGATTTGCCAGCACGCCAGAAGCTGAGAGAAGCTCATCATCAGGGCTCTCTGAAAATGATTGGAGAAAGATGGATCGATTAGTTCGAGCTGTTGTAAAGGATACCGAACAGACTGAGTCAAAAAAGCTGCGTTCAAGCGTTCACCATCTCTCTGTGCAGAATGAGCTTTTAAAGCATGAGAATGAGGGCTTAAAGGAGGCTCTTCAACACAAAAAGAAGCACAAGAAGAAGGGCAAAGCTCTTGACCTTCAACAGCGCCAGGAGTATCACGGTGGCGCCGTTCACTGGTCTCCTCGCAAGCTGCGTGAAGCTCGAGCTAGAGAAGTAGTACGGGAGCGAGATGAGATGGAGGAGAAACTCCAAAAAGCACGGGCCAAAAAGCAGCGCGAGGAGGCTCAACTGCAGTGTCAAGTTGAGCTCGAGGAGAAGCGTGTGGAAAGGCAGAGGCTCAAGGACGTCAGGGAGCAGGAGAGAGCTGAGAAAGCAGCCGAACGCGCGCGCAAAGTTGAAGCTCAACACCAAAAAAAAATCTATCCAACAAGCTCAACAACGCAAGCGTAAAGCCTCATGAGTAGTCTTACCAAGTAACAAGCGTCAAAAACGCGCTGGCGCTGCTCACGCTGGTGTTCAAGCTGAAGATGAGCTATCTGCTACTCCAGCCAAAGTCACATCACGTGGCCGCAACGTCAATCTCCCACAAAAATATAGATAGTACAAGTTGATCGCAAGCATCTAATTACTACAAAACTATATTTCTATCAATATTAAGCTATTGCGTGGCGCTGTACAGCCTCATTTTGAGATTGGGCATGTGGTGTTCTGCGGGGCACACTGTGAATCCGGGCACACTGCGCACGGGCACGTTAACGCCCGTGCGCCGTAACGCCCACCAATAGCCCATATGAGAGTCTACAAAAATGAGGCTGTAGAGCTACACACAATAGCTATTATTATGAGGTATTTTGGTGGCGTGTTTTATAGGCCTATACGACAATATTGTTCTATGTATACTATTTATATATACTATTTATATAGAGTAGCAGTTCGACCGCTGCGGGTGGTGTGAGTGCGAGGCTTAGGTGCAGGCTCTGGAACTGCAACACGACTACGAGCAGCCACAGTACCACGATTCTGCTTCTTTTTTGGTGCTGTAGCTTGTGAGGCCTTGCGCTTGCCTCTTTGGGATAATTGTATAGCTTTCTCACAGTCGCGCTCTTCCTTCTGACGTGCTCTTTCTGCTTTGCGTGCGTCGATTTCTGCTCGCTCATTAGCCCTTCTCTCAGCCACCTTCTTCTTCTCATTCTCTCGCCTCTCCTTCTTCTCAGCATCAAGCTTCTGTTTGAGTAGACGAGTAGACTTCTTGAGTTGAGCTGCGTCTGCTTTTCCGATCTCGTCTGCCTTCTCTGCCTCATTTGCGTCAGCCTGGAGTTTCTGGGCTCGGTTGACGCGTGAAGGAGACCACCACTCAGTCTCTGCCTCCCAAGACTGTCTCCGATGAGCTGGGAGAGGCCTCTTCTTCTTAGTGCCTCTCTTCTCGTGATATAGGGCTTGTTGTAGCTTTGAATTTTCCATCTCAAGAAGCTGGTTTTGGATGGAGAGGTGGTGTAAGGTGTCCTTCACCACCACGGCATCTTCTGAGTATCTATCCCCAACAGCAGCAGATAGATGGGCATCAAATGCCTGCCAATCCTTCCCTGCATATACTGGAGTAGGCACAGCTGGTTTAGGTTCAGGGCCATACTTCTTCTTGAACCTTTTGAGCACTGCCTGTAGGTCAAAAGGTATCAACCCAGTGACCTTGAAGGCTCTCTCAACGAGCTCCTTGGTGAAGGTTTTCACCTAGGCAGACTAGTAAAGGCGGAAGAAGTCACCCTTCTTGATTGGGATGAGGCCTAAGGTGTCCTGGAGATGATCTGCGAGTATTGTGGAGTAGTTTTGAGCCAGGGGACTAAAGCAGACTACATCTAGGGGTTGAAGAGTATGAGTACTGTGAGGTGGGTATACAGCTATCATGA